CTGCCTTATTTATTCCTCTGTCAAAAATGTTTGTGTTATTCCACCTGGAACATTCTCTAATGTGATGCCAGGTATTCAGCCAAAGTCAGGCACTCTGTTCCAGGGCCCGAGACATTGGAGGACTCAGCAAGGAGCAACAGGGGACCCCGGGGAAATCTTGGAAGGCTTTATAGAGGAAGTATCCTTGGAGCTTGAAGGATGCATTGAGTTCTGGAAGGCAGCTCAAGGTATTCCACTGGGAGGGGCCATCTCACGTTGAGGTTGTGAGGTATGCACATTCCTGAGTCATCAGTCACTGGGGGTCACGTGATCCTCAGCAGAGAGCCCAACTCTAGCACTCTAATATTCTTATCGCGTCCTTTTCTGTTGTTGATTTTTAAGAACTCTTTCTATATTAAGCACAACAGTCCTTTTTTTTTTTTACAACAGTCCTTTTTTTTTTTAATTTTTTAAATTTATATACGATAGTCATACAGAGAGAGCGAGAGAGGCAGAGACATAGGCAGAGGGAGAAGCAGGCTCCATGCACCGGGAGCCTGATGTGGGATTCGATCCCGGGTCTCCAGGATCGCACCCTGGGCGAAAGGCAGGCGCCAAACCGCTGCGCCACCCACGGATCCCCTACAACAGTCCTTTTTATAACACATTTTCATTTACCTTTTTGCTTATGATAGGTTTTTTTTTTTTTTTTTGCTTATGATAGGTTTTGATAAGCAACATCATAAATATTTTTGTGTTGGTGAATTTTCTGCCTTTTCTTTCACAGTCTTCTTTGTCCCAGGCTTTCTTGTCACATGCTGAGTGCTTAAGCAATGTCTAAGGGATGCCTGGGTGGCTCAGTGGTTGAGCATCTGCCTTTGGCTCAGGTCATGATCCCAGAATCCTGGGATGGAGTCTCGCATAGGGCCCCCTGCTCAGCGGGGAGTCTGCTTCTCCCTCTCCCTCTGCTTCTCCCCTTACTCACGTTGTCTCTCTCACCCACTCTCTCTCTCAACTAAATAAAAAATTTTAAAAAACTTTATAAAAATTTAAAAAAGAAATCTCTGAGAGTCCAATTAAGTTGAAAGTTGAAAAATTACAGCTATAAGAATAGAGGCCATGGTGCCTTTGCTCACTGAGATCCTCCTCCTGGGGTTCCTTCCTATTCTTTCTCTCTATTCCTTCCTGCCTGCCTGGAGCCTATGCCCCCTCTCTAAAGTGAGTTGGGGATCAGATAATGTGATGATGGCAGTGGGGGGTGGTGGGGGACCAGGAAATTTCCAGCTGGGCAGCCTCCCTGTATTTACTTGCTGAATACTTGCATGAGGTGGAAACTATTATTAATCCCATTTTACAGGTGAGAAAATGGGCTCAGAGAGGTTATAGGACTTGCCCCAGGTCACACAGGAAGGCACAGAGATAGGATTTGAACCCAGGCCATATTTCCCCAGAGCTCATACTTTCACATATCCTTCTGGCACCTCATTGCCCTCAGATCCAGTCCAAGGTCGTTAATATGATACCCGGCACCTCTCAGGTCCTCCGTGTCTTCTTCTGTGTCACAGAGTGGCCCCAACATCTCAGTCACACAGGATCTGGAGTGTTGGGCTAGCGAGGGCCAGCCCCCGGGGTTTTAGATAGGAACAGGGAGGCTCAGAGATGGAGAGAGCCTTGTCCAAACCCCAGTGTGTAAGGAGCAGAGCCTCAGTGGGACTCTTGAGTGCTCCCCCCCTGGAATTTCTCCTGCTGCTTCCTCCAGGAAGCACCCCTGCACCCTGACTGGGTTGACTCTCCCCTGGGGTCTGAGGACTTTGCCTGTGGCAGGCCCTCAGCAAAGATTGGCGGCAAGAGGGAGGCCCAGAGAGGGCCAGACACCTGCCCCATGTCACACAGTGGGCGGGAGCAGAGCTGGGGGCCTGTGAAGCCCCTAAGACCTTTCTAGGTTCTGCGTGCCCCTGGGACGGGACACTGGGGATGGAGCAGTGTCTATAATGGCCACTCTAGGAGAGAGTGCCCAGGGGACTCTGTCCTCTGCTGCTCCTAGGGGCTCAGGGCCAAGGACACCCTGTCTCCCTCCAGTCCTCACCTGCTGTAGAAGGATGTTCTCAAGATAAAAATACCCTCTGAAACATTCCCCAGTGTCTGGCACGAACTGTCGTCCGTCCTGGGGGCCAGAACCTCCTGCCCCAGCTTCACCTTGGGGCCCAGAAGGCAGATGTCCACCCTTCCTGGGCATTTGGCACAGCCTGTGCCCGGGAGCCGTGTGTCCCGCCCCTGTCACTGGGCCGCGGCGGGCACCCCAGGCCAGAGGAGCGGCGCCAGGCTCCGTGTGCGCCAGGTCCGTGCTCCCCTTCGGTGCCTGTTGGGAGGCATCACATGGGACCGCGGGGGGCCGCAGGGGTGTGTGCCGCGTTTCAGTCCTGCCGGAATCCCACTTGGGCGCTCAGAACCGGGGAGAAGCCGTCCGGGGACGCCCGAGAGGCCCCAGCATCACCCCGGCTGCGCGGCGGGCCCTGCCTTCACTCCCGGGCGGGCTCCCCGAGGTCGCGGGCTCTTCGGACTTTGGAAACGAGGCTGAGGCCCGGGAAGGGCCCTTCGTGCGCGGGGGGCAGCCAGGCGAGGGCTCGGGGCTCTCTGCCCCCTCGGCGCCCCCTCCAGGAGGCCTGTGCGTCGCCGGCTGCCCCCCCCCCCCCCCCGCAGGGCCCTTCGGGTCCAGGCCCTGTGCCCAGAGCCTGAGCCTCCGAATTCCTGGGCGGCCGGGGCAGGCGGCATCCGCCCGTTTTGTGGAGGAGGAAGCCCGCCCGGCCTCAGGAAGGGGAAATGCCTGGCCCTGGCCCCCGGCGGTGTGGGCCCCAGCGCTGGCTGACAGACTGGCACGGGCAGGGCTAGTGGGGGAGCCTCGGTGTCCGGCCGCCCTGCCCTCACTTGGCGGGAGTCTGAGGGCCAGTCTGGCCTGTCTGGGCTTGGCCGCCCCGCGTTATGTGGGAGCCTCGAGCCCCCACCCCGCCTCTCCCAGGCAGGACTGTGCCCCGTGCCCCAGGAGGCATTTGGTGATCTTCAGGGGTTTGAATTTACATCATGGGCTGCTGTGGCCATCCCGGGGTGGCGGGGGCAGCATTGGACAGGGTGTCCAGAGACCTGGGTTCTTGTGTCCCAGCTGCCACTCACTCCAGTGCAGCTTTGTGACCTTGGGCAAGTCACTCCTCTGCTCTGGGCCTGTTTCCTTGTAGAGTGGAGCTGATTTTGCCCACCTCACAGGTGAGAACAAATGTGGCTGGATTTGTGGTCTGGAGAGAGCCCCTTTAGGAGCTAGGGCATCAGGAGCAAGGGGAAGAGAGCCTGGGGCAGGTCAGGTGACAGGTGACCAACAGGAAGTGGGGAGGGCAGGCTGTCTCACATCCTTCTCCCTATAAACTTCTTTGGCTCCCATTGCCCTGTGACATCTCCTTTTTTGGAGTTCCAGCTCAGGGTGACCCAGGGCAAGTGACTTAGCTTCCCTGAGCCCCAATTTCCCTGTGTGGCCAGCCAGGAGAGGCATCGCTCCTTCAAAGTGGGGCTGTGAGGGCTGGAATAAATGAAGCCAGGAGCTAAGCCCTCAGGGCTGGGCACAGTGTAAGCCCATTCCAGGGGCAGGGCATAAGATCAAGGACTTGGGCACAGGTCCTAGCCATGGAGATTCCCAGCTGTGTGACATGCTTCTACAGTGGAGCTGCCCTAAAGCTCAATCTCCCCACCACTTTAAAATTATGAGGGCTAAGAGATGCACCCTGCAGACCTATGGCATCTGCTCAGGGCATGATGAGGGACAGGGAAGTGGGGGGCTGAGAACTGGGACTCTGTCCCAGTTGAGATGAGAGTCTGGAAGGTGAAGAAGGACCAGCAGGACATTCCCTTATGGAGTAAGCAGACGCCCAGAAGGGAGAAGTGAGTCAGCCAAGGTCACACAGCTTGTGACAGGCAGTGGACTTGAACCTAGGTCTGTGTGCCTCTAAACCCACTGCTGTCACCTGCCCCAGGAGGCTTATGATGTGGGGCTGACTCACCCACAGTTCCTTGATCCCAGCCAGAAAAGCCAGTGCAACTGTGGATTACAGCCAGCTCAGCTGTGACGGGGTGGGGCCCGTGACCTCAGTGGCTGGGAGGTGGGGGAAGGTGAGAAGGGCCAGGCAAGTCTGCTTGCCTCTGGGAATTCATGGAGCCCCTTCCCGCCACACAGCATACTGGGGGAAAAGTAGGGGGCTCCTTTGATGTGGGAAAATGACGTTTGTGGGTTGCTGGGACCACCCAGGATGCACGAATGCCCAAGGCAAGTCTCTGAGAAGCTACTGACATGCACTCATCCATATAGCCATTTACCCACCTGTCCACTCATCTGTCTATTCCTCTCTCCCGCTCACTGAACCACTTCATCCATCCATCCATTTACCTGCTCATCTCTCTACCCACTATCCATCACGCATCCATCCACACACCCACCCACCCATCCATCCATCATCCATCCATCCATAATCCACCCACCCACCCATTGGTAACCCACCCACTCACCCAACCACACACCCACTCCCCTACCCATAACCCACCCACCCTATCCATCCATAATTCATCCATCCGTCTGTCTGTCCTTCTGTCCATCCACACTTGAACCCTGGGGTTTGCATTGGGAGGGCTCTGCAGGTGGTGACTAGGAGTATAGTATGATAGAGACCTGAGTTCCTCTGCCACATTACCCACCTCTCTGGAATGAGACCAACAATAGTTCCAACCAAGTGGGGTTGTTGTGAGGATGACATGAGCTAATCTCTGTAAAACACCCACCACAGTGGCTGACAATTGGTAGGTACTCCAAGTTGCGAAGGTGTGGGTATCAGAGGTGTGGGCTGGAGGCCTCTTCCACCTCCCATGGGACCCTGAGGGAAGCTGCAGAAGTGGGGGTTCAGGTGGAAATTTCAGACTTTTGAACCTTTGCTTTTAAGGAGAGCAGTACCATCTATAGTAATTTGGCTTTGCTCTGTTGACTTTAGGGTCTTCTAGTGACCGATTCCTCTCCAGCTGGGGTGCAGGAAATGGAAGCTGCTGCTGACACAGCCTTGAAGACAGCCACTTGCCTGCTCAGCACCGTTACTTAGAAGATAGGATTCAAGAGGTAAGATGAAGGTCACTGATGTGCATCTACCCATCTAGCCATCCACTCAACTAAATACTCCTCTGTCCATTTACCTCTCCAGCCTCTCATTCACCCATTGTCCATCTACTAGTTCCACATATCCTCCCATGTGTCTGCCATCTACCTGTCCACTCATTTCCCAACCCACCTAGCCATCTTCACTTCCACATATTCACGCATTTCCCAACCATTCACTCACCATCCCAGCCATTCATCCATGCACCCAAGTACCCATCTGTCCTTCCCTCCACCAGCCATCCATCTAGTCATCCGTCTGTGCCCACCCACCTGTCCATCCATCTATCCATCTCTTCATGCACCCAAACTATCGAATGATTTTCTATCGACTTAAGCCATTCATCTTTCTGGTTCCCACCCATCCACTCATCCATCTGCCATGTCTTCATCATGCATACCACCACCCATCTGTATTTATATGTGTCACCTCATGCACTGTTCCATCGTGCTCCTCATCCATCTGCTATTCTGCTGCATATTCCCTCAGCCTTTTATCTGGACAATGAGCGTTTCCTGGGTGTCCCCTCTGGGCTAGGCCTGTACCAGCCTGTGTAGGCCTCTGAGGTTGGCCAGAAATGCGGCCTGGGCAAGGTCAACTCTTATACCAGGTAGAAGGGGCTTCTGGTCATAACAGGAAAAGCCCAGGGCCAGAGGATCCAAAAGGGCTCTATGGCAATGGTGACCTTCAGATGATCCCTGACAAGTGGGAGGATTCTAAGCATTCATTTTAGGTATGATTTGGGATTTGGACCACATGCGGCAGAGGGTCGCCACAGCACAAGCCCTTAGAGGCCTGTTGGTATGTCCAGACAGGAGTGGCCTGAACTGGAAGGAGGATGTGGGTGAGCAAATGGTGGACAGCCTTGGCAGTTCAGGAGACAAACCACACAGGCAGGACCTGGTGACGGAGTGGATATGAAGGCTGAAGGAGAGAGAGGAGACAAGGTTTCTGGCAGCTCAGGCAACTGGGGAAGTGACCAGGTTACCAAAAGACTCTATGAAGAGGGAAAGGGGGAGGAGGAGGTCAGAGGAGGGGGATGGAAGGAGGGACAAGGAAGAAAGGAAGAAGAGGGTGAGAAAGGCGAGGATGAGGGGAAGGAGGGGGAGGTAAAGAGGCTTGGGAGAAGAAGAGGAGCCATGTTGGCCACATGGTGCTGTGGGACATCCCGGAGGCAAGGCTAGGGTCTGGGGAGGTAGGATAGAACAGGCACCCCAGAGTATGGCTGTCGCAGGGGCGGGGAGCTGCCCCCTCCAGGAAGGTTGTTCTGGGGGCATTAGTTCCCTGCCTGTCCAGTGCATAAGCAGAGTGTATACCAATGGCCAGAGAGAGCTTTCGGGCAGAGACTAGGGTCAATAGTGGCTGGAAATGAGCACCCAGGAGTGGGGAAGGCCTGGGCCGCGGGCGGCACACCCACCACATCCGGCATCACGCTAACTTATTGTGACTGTTTCTGTCCTTGCACCTAGCATGGGTTTGGCACAGAAAAGCTGTGCGGTGCTGACCCCGAATGCGTGTAGGCTGTGCTGTATGCTGTGGGCAAAAGCGGTCTGTGCATTGGGGAGGGGAGGGGGATTCGGGGCTCCCCACTGCTGGTGAGGTGCTTGCCCCGCTGCGGTGTGCTCTCTGGGCAGCCGGGCCTGCCTCTCACGTCCTGCTATGTGACCTAACGGGGGAGCCTTCTTCCTGCCTACAAAGTAAAGATGGGAGCCTTCAGGCGCTTTTGCGAAGCCTGCTGGGTATGTACTAGATGAGGACAGGCTCGGAGGCCTTCCCAGGACACGCGAGAGGTTCTCTGGCGGGTTAGCGACGTCTGCCACGGGCACGGGCTAGACGAGGAGGTGCCAAGTGCATGTGGGTCACACGCTGGCTTTCCCTGAGCCAGGTGATCTCCAGGGATTCGTTCTGGTCATCAGCTTTGAGCAGGAGGCGGTGAGTGCCCCATCCCTGGACATTCGAAGCGAGGGCAGAATGGCCCGGGGTCAGGGCTGCTGCAGACAGGCTTCCGTCTGCTTCTAGTGCCGAGACTAGGGGCTGCTTGTGTGTCTTCTCACCACGTGGTGTGGCAAGGGCCTGGAGGCCTGCGATGGGAATTCATGTCCTGCCTACAGTCCGGCCCTGGGGGTGGTGGGGGTTGGCTTCTCTCCCACCCTCTAGTCTGGAAACTTGCTGCTTCGTGGCCATGTGATCCTGGGCAAGTGACTCAGTGTTTCTGAGCTTCAGTTTCTTCATCTGGAAAATGGAGCTCATAGTCATAACGTCGAAGGGATTAAGGGAGATAATTAGAGCTCTTAGAAGCTGGCCTGGCCTGTAGTGAGCACTTGGTCTGTATTGATCACTACACTCCTGCCTCTCAAAGTACTCTGGCCAACTGAAAGGCCTGGGACCTAGGGTGCTTAAGCCCCTCCTGCTCTGGGCTCCCTCCATTGGCTCTTCCAGTAAGTGCTTCTTGACATCTGAGAATGTGGGCCCAGGCCTGGCCCTCATTCCCTCCCGGATGTCACTGAAACCTGAGGTGCCCAGAGCCTCAGGGGACAGGGCATGGGGTGTTCTGCTCCATCCGGAGGCACCTCTGGTGATTCTTGGGCCCCACCTTGGGTCATGTGGGAGCTGCCTCTCTAAAAGCTCCCAGCCCAGGCTGTGTCGTGCTCTGAACACCCTGGTGGCTCGGAGTCGGCGTCCACAGATGCCGTGGCCAACAGGGCAGTGGGCTCAAGGGACAGCCAGGCTGGGGACAGCTTCTCCATCACTCAGAGGTATCTGGGTCCACGCTCTTCACCACCCCTTCTCTGCCTGCCGGACTCACTTCGCTCCCTATCTCCAGTGCGGAAGTCACACCGTCTAGTTCAGGTAGCAGACCCTGGGGTGCCTCTCCTGTTCCCTTCCAGAGAAGGCCTGGGATCCCCTCTGGCCAAGCCAGGCATCTGCCAACAGTGATCCTAGCTGTCATCTTTAATGTCTTATCCAAGCCCATGAGCTGCTGTGTGACCTGGGACAAGTCTCAGCCATAGTTCTCAGATCTAGGAAATGGGAAGTTGGCCTCCTAACTTGCTGAGGCCTCTTCTAGCAAAACAAATCTAACAATATTTCTTACCTGATCTAACCATATGCATCCATTGAGCAAGAGCCAAAGAGGCCTGCATGTCCCTGGTTGAGGATGTTGTCCCACATTTCTTACACCGAGTCTTTAAAGATTCCACAGCTGTGTGAACTTCCTGCCACATCTGCGTTTGTGTGCATGGAGTGTCCTTGGGACGTTTGGCAAGTTTGTAGTGCTGGGGTTTCTACTTATGGGCCCTCTTCTGGGTATTTCTTTGTGGTGCTGCACTCACCAAGAGCCTGGGAGGGGCTCCTCACACCCCTAGCAACACACCCACACATGCACGCGCGCGCGCACGCACACACACACACGGCAGAGTGGGGCCACAGGAAGCTGAGGACTGGACCTACACAGGGAACTGCCAAGTCGCTGTAATCCTTAGTTTCTGGGTGCCTTTGGACAATGACTGCTCATATTCTCAGTTTCTAGCTGAGAAACAGCAGAGCAGAGTGTGAACGTGACTTTGTTGATTTTCTGTGTGGTTTGAGGAGGAACACCAATGGAAGAGGGGGTTGCCAAGCCTGTGTGACACGGTCTGGGTGGGTCCCAGTTGCCCAGCCCAGGCACAGACACCAGGAATCACTGCAGCTCCCTCACCTGCCTGGAAGCTGGCCGGGTGCGAGGCTCCCCAGCGGATGGGAGCAACGTGCCAGGCTGGGCTCTCCGGCCTTTGATTCTTCCAATTCTGTCCCTTGCAGGCCTCCAGCTGCTTAGAGCTCCAGTTGGAGCAGCATTGACCCGCTGGACATCCCTCAAGGCCTCCAGGTCACATAAACCTGCCCCCTGCGGTCTGGTGGCCTCCCGCCAGCATCTAAGTACCCCAGCCCTGAACACTTCTTCCCCGAGGGTCCAGGAATCTGGGGCTGAGCCATCTTCTCGGCACAGTACCTGGGGTCCCCACAGCCACCAGCTCCCTGCCTCCTGGCCTGGGCGGAAGCAGCATCCACCATTACAGCCCCGGGCCTCAGCTCCTTAGGCCCGTGGTGAGGTGGTCAGCTGGAGTAGCCCTGGGGGGAGGATGGCAGGGTGAGAAGAGGCTCCCGCAGAGCCTGAAGGCCCCACAGCAGGAGACCTCGCATTAGACGAACTGGTTCGAATATCAGCTCTCCTGCTTATTGGCTGTGTGGCTTTGGGGAAGTCACCTAACCTCTCTGAATCTCCATTCAGAGTAGAAATAACAATAGCAGTCACCTTCTTGTTTTTTTTTTTTTTAAGATTTATTTATTTATTTATTCATGATAGACATAGAGAGAGAGGCAGAGACACAGGCAGAGGGAGAACAGGCTCCATGTCGGGAGCCCGATGCGGGACTTGATCCCAGGACTCCAAGATCGTGCCCTGGGCCAAAGGCAGGTGCCAAACCGCTGAGCCACCCAGGGATCCCCCCTTCTTGGGGTTTTGAGAGGATAAGCTAAGACCATTTGCTAATATGTCTGGCTTGCTCTCTCTGCAGCTTGAGGAGTGGGCAGGAATAGCCATGAGAGTTGTATACGTGCCCGCTCTGGGGATCCAGAAGCCCGTGGCAACAGAGACAGATTCTAGGAGGGGTCTGCAGGCTGGCTGGTCATGTGGGCTTCTCCCTCACCTGTCTCCCAGGTTTTTGAAGCAGAAGTCAGATGTCATGCTCCCTCTGAGCCTCTAGCTGCACCTGGTTACACAGACCAGGGCTAAATCGGTGTTGCCTCTTCCTGGCCATGTCACTTCCAGTTTCTGGGTCTCTGGTGGGTGCCCAGCCACCTGCCTGTCTGCTTGTGGCCAGGCTGTCCTGGGACCTTCTTAACTGAGGCCTACTGTCTTCTGGGCACTCTAGGGCTCCCTGCCTTGTCTAATGCTGACCTCCTAGTATGACCAGGTGGGCACTGGGTCCCCATTGGTGGGGAGGAATACGCCCAACTCCTCAACATGCTAGCCAGGCCAGCTAGCCAGGGTTCTCCCCCTCCTTCCAGCCCAGCCCCGGCTGAGCCAGGCTGAGGGCCTGAGCACTTGCAGCCCTAATGCTAATGGCCAGATGGCCTCAGTGCCCACAGTAGATGCCTCAGCCTGGCACCGACAGGCCAGCCCAGAGCCAGTGGGGCAGTGGGGGAGGGGCAGCTGCCAGCCTCTCTGAGGGCTGAATGTGTGCTAGTGGCCACGAGAACAGTGTTTGTCCAACTATGGGTGTTATGCCCTGGGGCGTGCCTGAGACTTCTTGGTGTACATGAGCGTGTGTATACGTATGTGCAGCAAGCCAACCAAGTGCTCCCCTGAGTGGGCCAAGGATAGTGATGCTTCTGAGTGCTCCCTATGCTCTGTCCTGTAGAGCTGAGAAAGGCAGGCATGGGGAAGACCCCTGGGCTGCAGTTAGTCAGTGATCCTTCTGGATGCTGATTTGTGGACGGCCTCCTAGCTTCTGATGGGGAGGCAGAGGGCATGGTGTATGGGTACCGAGAGTTGGGTGCCTCGGAGCATAGCACATGAACATTAGGAGGGTGTCCTTGGTGTTCTAGGCTCTGGGGATGAGACTGCAGTGAACAAAACAGCAAACTCACTATGCTTAGGTAGCCAGCGGTGTGTCTCATGGTGGGAGTGGTGGGTAAGGGCAACCCGCCCAATACATGTCATTCCTATTCCTATTATTAGGTCAGAAGTCGATGATTTGGGGTGAGGAACTGGGTGAGGGGTTAGTCTCCGGAGGGTGCAGGAAGGCCTCTGGAGATGCTTTTGGGGCCTTGCGGCCAAGAACTGAGGGAGGTGAGGCAATGGGAGGACATCTGGGTGGGGAGCATGCAGGACAGGCTGGAGGAACAGTGTGGAGAAGGTGGGCTGCAACAGCACGAGTGAGGAAGAGCCTGGGAACTGAGATCTGAGGGGCCTGGACTCCACTCATGCAGGCCTCGTGGGTGCCAGCCTCAAGGGACTCTGGCCTCAAGCCGAGGATGGCAGGCTCCCCCTGGCTGCCTCTGGACCGGGGTTGGGGCAGGAGCACAGAGGTTGGCGAGGTGGCCGCCATGGTGGTCCAGGTGGGTGATGACGGGGACTCAGGCAGTGACAGTGGGAGAAGAGGTAGGATCCTAAATATACTTTGAAAGCAGAGCTTTTGGGGTTTCGCGGCCAGAGCTCCCGGGGGGACCGAGTGTCACTTTTCCACACTGAGAAGGAGGGTGAGTTGCTGGCTGAGGAGGGAAGATGGAGAGCTCGGTGGGGGGTGAGTTAGGGTGAAGCCGTCGGAGGGCTCTGGGTGGGGGCGGAGGCGGGGGCCCGTGTGGCCTGCTCTGCCAGCCCCACTGTCTTCCCTGTTGCAGGAGCCGCCCCCCGCAGAGCCGGCCCAGGGGCGAGCCAGGGCCCCCCCAGCCCCGGGATGACCTCGGCCGGCAGGGCCAACCCCTACAGTATCGTGTCATCGGAGGAGGACGGGCTGCACCTGGTCACCATGTCAGGTGCCAACGGCTTCGGCAACGGCAAGGTGCACACGCGGCGCCGATGCCGAAACCGCTTCGTCAAGAAGAACGGCCAGTGCAACATTGAGTTTGCCAACATGGACGAGAAGTCGCAGCGCTACCTGGCCGACATGTTCACCACCTGCGTGGACATCCGCTGGCGCTACATGCTGCTCATCTTCTCGCTGGCCTTCCTCGCCTCCTGGCTCCTGTTCGGCATCATCTTCTGGGTGATCGCGGTGGCCCACGGCGACCTGGAGCCGGCCGAGGGCCGCGGCCGCACGCCCTGCGTGATGCAGGTCCACGGCTTCATGGCCGCCTTCCTCTTCTCCATTGAGACGCAGACCACCATCGGCTATGGGCTGCGCTGCGTGACAGAGGAGTGCCCGGTGGCCGTCTTCATGGTGGTGGCGCAGTCCATAGTGGGCTGCATCATCGACTCCTTCATGATCGGCGCCATCATGGCCAAGATGGCCCGGCCCAAGAAGCGGGCGCAGACCCTGCTGTTCAGCCACAACGCCGTGGTGGCGCTGCGCGACGGCAAGCTCTGCCTCATGTGGCGAGTGGGCAACCTGAGGAAGAGCCACATTGTGGAGGCCCACGTGCGTGCCCAGCTCATCAAGCCGAGGGTCACCGAGGAGGGCGAGTACATCCCACTGGACCAGATCGACATCGACGTTGGCTTTGACAAGGGCCTCGATCGCATCTTCCTCGTGTCCCCCATCACCATCCTGCATGAGATTGATGAGGCCAGCCCGCTGTTTGGCATCAGCCGGCAGGACCTGGAGACCGACGACTTCGAGATCGTGGTCATCCTGGAGGGCATGGTGGAGGCCACGGCCATGACCACGCAGGCCCGCAGCTCCTACCTGGCCAACGAGATCCTGTGGGGCCATCGCTTCGAGCCTGTCCTCTTCGAGGAGAAGAACCAGTACAAGATCGACTACTCCCACTTCCACAAGACCTACGAGGTGCCCTCCACACCCCGCTGTAGCGCCAAGGACCTGGTGGAGAACAAATTCCTGCTGCCCAGTGCCAACTCCTTCTGTTATGAGAACGAGCTAGCCTTCCTGAGCCGCGATGAGGAAGACGAGGCCGATGGAGGCCAGGATGGCCGTAGCCCCCAGGCTCGGCATGACTTTGACAGACCCCAGGCCAGTGGTGGTGGTAGTGGTGGTGGTGGTGGTGGTGGTGGTGTCGGTGTCCTTGAGCAGCGGCCTTACAGACGGGAGTCAGAGATCTGAGCCACCATGGGCCAAGGTGCAGCATCCGCCCCGCCAGGGAGAGGCCCAGCGTCCCGTGAGGGTCCTGGGTTTGAGCAGAATGGGCCTGGTGCCCCGGTTGCAGACTCAGTAGCGTTTTAGATGTTTTATGTTCCTTCACAGTGGCCTGGAAAGGTTGGCGGGAGAGTGGGCGGCCAAAGTGGGCCGCCCCTGGCCTCAGAGGCCGGAGCAGGTGCAGGGGCAGGGAGGTGACCTCTGGGGGTCCGGGCCAGGAGCCAGGGGCTTCTGCCTGACGACAGAACAGCAGCCTGCCCGGAAGTGGCTGGACAGCCATCCAGCCTCTGTGGGTCAATGCTGGCAGGCTGCAGTGCACCTCACTGGTTTTTAACTTGGGGAGAAACACCAGTTTTGGCTTTCTCAACCTTAGCTTGAGTAAGACTGTTTACAAAAAAAAAAAAAAAATTTAACATGTGATTTAAAAAAATTTGATTTGTGGGGGTTATAAAAAAAAGGACAGTTAGAATTCCGTTGGTCTTCCGAGATGCAGGCAGGTAGATGGAGGCCCCACGAGGCTCCCCGAGGCTGGACAGGCCTCTCCTCTGTGGAGGCCGCATGCGTGCCAGGTGGCACAGTCCGCAAGCGCAAGCACGGTGCTCATCCGTGGTTCCTTATGCTCACGGCGGATCAGGTGATATTTGCGCTAGAAAAACCAAGACCATGTTAATGATCATCATAAAAGCTTTCCAGAGTCATAGTGGTGGGGGGTAGGGGCTGGGAAAAAACTATTTGAGCTTTTCGGGTTTGACTTTTGTACCTTAGAGGTGCGTCTCAGGGCTGGAAATGGGACCTGCCTGCCGTGGAGGGCCCGCTCTCCCCCCATCCACCAGATTTTCCTGTTTTACTTCTCTCTCCTTTTCTGCCTCATAGCCTCCACCCTTCCATAGTGAGGGACACTTGGAAAATGTTGGAGTAGATGGCTCCGTGGGAAGGGAGGGCCGGTTCCCTGATGACAAGGAAGCAGATCAGCCCCATTCCCACGGGACCCCAGTGTGAGTCGTGCCTTAGAGACCTCAGGTGGGCCAGCTCCAGCTGTTTCTGTTGTTACCGGACTAGCCCGTACTCCCAGCTGCCCCCGATTCCACCATGAAGTCCCCACCAGCCTGTCTGCCTGCAGAGGCTGGGCTATCCTCCTTGCACCTGGGACAGCACAAGGGAGCCCAGGTAGGTCCCAGCCAGGCTCTTCTCCGCTGCTGAATGGCAGAGGATCTTAGAAGAGGTGTGGAATTGTCAGCCGAGATGACTGGGAGTGGCACTTGCTTCTAGGCCCCCTCGTCAGGAGGAAGTTCGGAGCTGTTGGCTCTGCTGGCCCCAAAGCAGGGCCCTGGACCAGGAACTGCCCAACATGGGCTTGTTCTTGGCAGGGGACACAGCTGGCAGGGGTGGAGCTGGCCAGGCCTTTCCCAGGACAGCTAAGATTTCTGTCTTCTCCAATGACCAGGCCTGTAAGGAAGTCCTTAATTAGAAAGCCCATACATGTCTCCTCAGCCTGCCTGCCTAGGCCACTCCAACCTGTGCCCTCTCTGAGATAGCTAGGCACCAAGGACTCTCGCACAAACGGGAAATGGAAGGAGACTTCAAGGTCACGAAGTGAGTGGTGGGTCTTGGGAGGCAGGGAGAAGCCAGGGGCCTGGGGTGGGGGCTGTTACCTCTCCCCTCCTCCTCCACCAACCCCCAGGGCAGCTGGAGACCTGGTCTGAGGCCAGAGGACCTCGAGGGTCTGGGCATGAGCCATCAGTCCCCCCCCCCACACACACACACGGGCGCCCTGGGACCGTGCCCTGAGTGGTGTCAGACTCTCAGCATTGTGCCCTAGCCTCAGACTCCACCCTCATTTCTGGCTGGGGGAATTCCAGCAGTGGAGTCAGCTCTTTCCTCTCAGGATCTGCTGGAGGGGCTTTAGTCCTTCCCAGCTCGGGGCCTGGCTTCCCAGCCCTGAGCCTGGCTGCCTTTCTCCATCTTAGCTCTGGGGGGGTGGGAGGGGCAAGGGTAGAGTTGATGTGGGACAGCTTCCCTGCCCACCCCCTAGATTGTCAGGCTGAGCCAGGGAGGGATGAGGGGACCCCAGTCACTTGAGGCTGGCAGAGGGGCCTGTGTCCTGCTCTGCCCAGCAGCTGGAGATCCTTCCAGGGCTGGTGAGCCAGGCTTCCACTGCCACCATGCAGAGCAGAGCCCAGGGATGTTGGGTGACTTGGTGCACCTCCTCTCAGGCCCAGGCTGGATGGTTCAGCCCCAGACCCTGCGGGAGAGCAGCCCTGGGCTGCCTTTCATCTCTCGCCAAAGGCAGATGCTGCGTTTTCAGACTCTTCTGCCCTTTTTTTTTTCCTTCCCTGTATTTATTTATTTATTTATTGCTTGTGCTAAAGACCAAAATAGTCTCCCTCTTTAGTGCACTTGAAACGGGAGGGTGGATGGGAGGAGCTGTGTGTGCTCACAGAGCAAGGATTACGTCATCCCTGGGGAGTGTGTGCCGGGGTGGGGTGGGGTGGGGTGTGTGTGTGTGCCCGTGTGTGTGTGTGTGTGTGCATGTGGTGTGTGGAGAGCATGTTAGCCCTCTGAGTGTGCCACATGCCACGTGCAATGCGTGTGCCGAGCACAGGCAAGTAGGGAGCATTTGTGCACTTGAGTGTGTGTGGTGTGTGTTTGGATGCGTGTGCATCTGTGTGTACATGGAGTGTGGTCTGTGTGCTGTGCAGGTGTGTGTTCCAATCTACTCCCACCCTCACCCTTTCAGGCAATGGGATTTCCAGGAAGTTTCTTAACAACCTGAACTGAGAGGTGTGGCTGTTGGAGCCAGCCAAGGTGGCCTGGGTGCCCTCCTCCCTGAGACATGGAACTGCTTATGTGGAAAAGGGGCCGTGCTGGCGGCGTGTGTGTGTGAGTGTGAGTGTGTGAACACCCAAGTGCATGCATTTGCAGGAGCAATCATCTCATCGCTGTTCAAGGAAATATGTGCAATTGTGGCTTTGCATGAGCGTGTGGATTCACCGTTCGTGGGCATGCTGTACCAATGTGTGCCCACGATGATCTCCATATGTGTGTGAATCTGGGCTGATGATGTACACACGTGGGATGTCCGTGTGTGCATATACACACAGACTCAGAGTTGTATGTATATTTACCCACAGGTATGTTTGTGAGTGTGTGTTTTACACGCGGGCATTGGTTTAAATGTTTGCCAGGCTGCAAGGCTGGGCACACACCGCTCAGGATGGATGCGGGCTGGGGACATTGGCACAGCTGAACCCAGTAGCCCCACTGCCCTCTGCCCGGATTACATCCATATGGGAATGCATGGAATGTGTGTGCCAGTGTGAGGCTTTTGTGTACTTGGGCATGAGGTAATATCTTCCCATGTGTGTGAGCACATGGCATCCAAGGTGAGTGCTTGCATATGGATGGCGTATGTGTGTGTGTGTTTGGCCCAGTGAAGACGTCGTGCATGTGGTGCATTTGTGTGTGGCAGTTGTGCCGGATTCTGTGAGCAGGGCTGGTGCCTGCCTGCTGGGGGCAGTGTGTATGGGAATGCACGAGCGTGTGCAGGTCCCAGGGCTGTGTACACAAAAACGTCAGTGGAAACGGTGTGTCCGTGTGCACGCCTGCGCGTGCTGCCTCGAACACGGTGGCCGCCCCCCCCCCGTGCCTGCTGGTGCTGTGCTGCCCGGTCCCTGCCTGCCCGAGGGTCCCGGGAGGGGCCGGGGGCGGGAGCGGGCCTGATGGGAAGGAGGCCCTGCACAGGGGTGTCTGCCCTGCGTGAGGTCATAGAATGTCAAATCTATTTTAAATGGTGAAACTGGAGAATTTTCATGTTATTTTCAATACATAGCGGTATCTAAAGACATAGGCCACGAGACTAGACCACATTAAATGCATTTTGATCTCTTTGAGTGCCACCGTGTGGAGATGTGTGTTTGAAAATCCCTGCCTGGCCTTCTGGGGTTCACTCAGCCCACCATAGCCTGGGGCCATGGGACTCCCCAGGGGCCTGGGGGGCAGGGGTGGGGGTGGGTCAGCACAGGAGCTCTGGGAGAAAGCACAGAACACCCCGTGCTTGCAGGCCCAGGGTGCTCTTCCAGCTGGCGCACACACCCTCACAACCTGGGACCACACACCCTCTCCCGCACGGGCCTCCGGGTGCGCTGTACCACCCACTGCGGCTGGATGCTACACTTCCCCAGCTGCGTGACCCAGAGCCGCTGCCCTGGCCTCCCTGGGGGCACACCTGCCCACTGCTCATCCCTTCTGCAAGGATTTGGTGAGCGCATGCCCACCTGGGCGTGTGCTGAGGGGAGGAGGGCAGCTGCTCTTTCCTGGGACTTGGTAGTGGGGGAGCCCCTGCAAAAGAACAGAACCAACAGCCCTGGTTCTCACCACGGTGACAGCAGACGAAGCTTGGGTGGGTAGGGCAGCCCTAAGAGCCCTACGCCAGCCTGGCCTGGTGACAGGAATTGGAGGGGTGTCCTGCTCAGTGAGGTTGAGATGACAAGGGCCAGAGGGCAGACAGGTGCCGCCGGCAGGGGGAGGAGCACAGGCAGGGAGGAAAACAGGCAAGGCCCATTCTGGGGAAAGCAGAATTTTCTCTGTACCAAGGGCCCAGTCTCTGGGATTTCAGTGGCCATCCGGGAGAGGCCCACCGGGAGAAAATTCTTTCCTTTGCCCAAACTAGTTCCATACTTGGAGGTCTTCTCTGCATCACTGAAGGAGCCAGAACCTTCATTCTGTGGGATTCAGATGATGATTCCACACCACAGGATTAGAAGCAAGGGTAGTGGTGACAGGCAATGATGAAGGACAGGAGGTCAGGAGGGACGGGGGGCAGGTCACGAAGGCTTCTTGGAGGTTGGTCCTATGGGTTGAACCTGGAGAAAGGACAGGCCCTGAAGGTGGTTGGCTCGGGGGTGTGGGTGGGACTCCCCTAGCCCTGGAGCCCTCCTCAGTACCCCAGTACTAGAATCTAAGCCAGTTGGGGCCACCAAACTCTGGCTTCCCCAGCCCCCAAGCACGAGTTCCCACAGATAGCTACGGGGCCCCTGTCAGCGCTTGATACATACCTGTGACCCAAACTTGGTGGCACTGGAGCTCAGGAGTCTTCAGTTATGCTCCATCCTGGCTGTGACCCTCACTCAGACCCAGGCCACTCTCTTGCTTATGACCTATATTGAATTGAGTTCCTTTCTCCCTGTGGCCTCAGTCTCCCTGTCTACGTAAAAAAAAGAGTGTTCATAATAAATGCTAGCTCGCATCCTCGTGGAAAGAACGAGAGGGAGAAAGAGAATGTGGATTTAGCTGACGCCTTGCACATGTGCTCAGCACCAGCCCTCGAGGTGGACACCAAGTGGGCATGAGGTAGGCACGAGGTGGGGACTGAGGTGGGCACAAAGTGGGGCCGGCGCCCGAGGTGGAAGGAGCATGCATGCGGCTCGTCTTTGCAGCAGCGCCAGTGTGTGTGCAGCAGAGGCCACAGGTTTGCCCTGCACTTTCCTGTCTCCCCAAGGACGAGGTGAGTCCAGCTTGGATCTGCTTTAAAGAACAAAGAAATGGGGTGTGGGGTGGGGGATTGGGTGACGAATGTTTACAGGCATTACTCCTTTGACGTTTGAGGCCCAGGTTTACCTGTTTGAGAGGTAATCAGCCCAGGGACACAAAGGGACTTTCAAGGGAGGGTAGCTGTCTGAGCCAGGATTGGATCGGGCCTTGGGTCCCCAGGTGCTCCTGTGGCCTTCATTTGACCCTGACATCACTCCCCTCATGGCGCTGGACCCCTCTGCTGCCTACCAGCGACCCCTAGAGGGACAACAGCCCAGCCAGCGGGCCTGCCCTGGACTCAGTTTGTCTTTCCAAAAATCCACCTCCTGCAGTGGAGGGCCCCAGTGGCTCAGGAAGAAACACAAATGGGTTTCCATCAGTGTGGGGGGGCCCAGATGAGACCTGTTTGCAACCCATAGATAGTGAGGGCTTCAAAGGATGTATACCCCCATCCCACTACAGCCCACCATCCACCAAGCACCAGAGTGGTCTTAGAGCCAGAATCAGGCCTTATGACCCCTTTCTGGCTTCCTGCTACACTGACAGTAAAATCCCAAGTGCTTGTTGTCCAGCCTCTGAAGTCCTGTCTCATCTTGCCCTGACCTCACCCAGCTCATCCTCATCTCCCTTTTCCCCTGACCCTCTGCCCTTTCCCACCTCCTTTCAGTGCCTTAAGAACACTACATTCTTCTCTTCACCCCAGGACCTTTGCACATGCTATTCCTCTGCCCAGAACAATTTTCCTTCAGAGATACCCTTTTATCCTTCCAACCTATGCCTGCTCTGACCTGTAAGAGAGATCATGAAGGCAGGGATTGTCATCTCTTTCGTCCACTGCTGGGTCTCCCGTGCAGGGTACAGTATGTACTTCATGTATATTTGTCTCCTGAATGGAGTAGAGGTCCTGTGGGCTTCCTGCCCAGAGAGAGGTCTGCAAGTCTCAACCAACCTACAGCCCTCACGTCTTCCCACTGACCCAGCTTGGACAGAGTCTACTGCACCGAGCAATGACAAACTAGAGTGATCCCTGGGTGGTAATGGAACACAGTGTGCCATGGGAGGAAAAGCAAGGGGAGACCTGGTTAGAGGGACTAGAGTGGGTCCCCCAGGAATTGACATTTCATCTGAGATCTAAGGGATGAATCAGCCTCTGCCAAGCATGCGAGGAGGAGCTCCCAGGGAGAGGGGTGGCACAAGCAAAGGCCCTGAGATGGGAGAGAGCACAAGAAGAAGGAAAAGGAAGCAGGTGGGTGGGTGTGGGTGTGAGGAAGGTCCCAGCAGCCCCCATTCCTATCGCTCAGCCTCCCTTGGGCCTGTGTGCCAGCCTCGGTGCCTCTCCCCCGTGGCATGGCAGCCTCTGGAGAGCGGGAACTGTTGCTCTGCCTGGGTCATGGCTGTGCCCAGCGCCCAGAACGTCGAGACCCGGCACCCAGGAAGCGCTCGGCCGTTGGGTAGGTGCTCAGCCAACCGTCGGCTCTCCCGCAGCTGAGAGAACCACAGAAGTCAGAGGTCAGGAGAGCTGGGGTCAGCCTCATCCCTGCTCAGGCAAATCTCCAGGCGTGGATTGCAGGAAGCCACCGCGCAGAGGCTCTTACACTGTTCTGTGCTACAAAATAGGAGTTTATCAAGAAAAATCTTGAAATGCATGACATACAAGATACAGGGTCACAAAGGAACCCCACTTCATGGGAATACCGGTATCCCAACGTGGACACACGCATCTGGGGTCAGCCAGTGGCGGTGTCTCCTCGCTAAGCACCCGTGAGCGAGGCCGCGCCGTGGTGGCTACGCTGCTGCTATCTTCCCGGGGCTGAGCACAGCCTCTGGGCCGGGCCCCGCGGCACTGGGGCAGGGCAGTGCCTCCCATCCTGCGTGGGGCAGAGTCCCAGCCCTGCCACCGTTGCTTGCCTCCATCCTCAAAGGAAGAGAACACAAAATTTCTGTTTGAAGTGGAGCAACGTGGACACATAACATCTTCACATCCAAGTGCACGTGGTCTTAATCCAAGGGCACGTGGGCCCTTGAAAGGGTGCAGGTCCTGGCTCAGGCCCCCGCGGTGTCAGTTTGGGGGCCGGTTTGCTGCCAGGAGGCAGGGCAGCCAAACTGTCTGCAAAGGACCCACTAGTAAATGCCTCAGAAATGTGCAGGCCCAGAGCTGCTGGCTCTGCTGCTGTCATACAAAATCCACCGTAGATGGTTATACACGCAAATGGGTTCCAAGAAAATCCAGTAGTTATTAGGGACTCGGTTCCAATAAAAACTCATTCATGCACCCTGAAATTTGAATTTCATGTGATTGTCACATGACATGAAATATTACTGTTCTTTTGATCCCTTCCTCCATCACTGAATCACTGAGAGGTGCAATTCCCACTCTGAGCTGGATGGAGGGCCACGCAGGGCCGCAGGCTGCAGGCACGTTACAGGCGCCCAGAGAGCTTCTTCATGCTCCCATGGCTGGGCCTCGCTCTCTGACTCTGGATGGAGCCCTAGAGGTTGGGGAGTTAAACTCCTAACCTAGGCTCTCATCCCTTTCCAGGTGGGAGTGTGGGGAGCCTGGCATTCCCTACAGAGATGCCCCTCTGCAATGTGGGAGAGGAAACTGCTCCTTCTTTCTGTCCTCTTAGGTTCTCTACCTGTTGGCCTCCAAATGAGATGGACAAAAGACGAGTGACGACAGACACACAAAGAGGAAGTCATTAACCCGAGCACCATACACACATAGGGGACAAGTCCGGGATGAGTGACTCCAAAGGATGCTTTGCATCTCAAAACTGTTTCACAGATGAGGAACTGAGGTGCAAGGAGCAGAGAAATGGGCCAACAGCCTGTTTGTCCTGTGGCTCAGGCCAGGGTTTTGATGTCCCTTGTCTCTCCTCACTCTGCTCTAGCGTCAGATGATGACCTGTTGAATCTTGAAAATTTGTTTAGCCTGTTTCTCTGTCCTGCTGCTGCTGCCTGGTCCAGGCCCCCATCATCCCTTCTTGGATGACTGGTCGTCTCCTCTCTGCCCTTGAGGCCCCTCTTGCTCTACTTCACCTGGGCAATCCTTTCAGGTCCCTCGACCCTGGGCCTGGGAGAACCAGGCCCCCTGACCCCCATGGGTCCCCTGAGGCACTGCAGGGGGGATGCTCCAGCAGGCAGAGAGTTAGGCTGGACCAAACGGAGGAAATCAGTGACCTGGTACCTGGTTCTGTCCTCCATGACTCTGCCAGCTGCAGCCCTGCCCTGAGCTCCACCTGCAAGCTGCCATACCAGGACTGATGGCCCTGAGAGCGGTGCTGGCTCTGTTGGCCCAGGTGCTGCAGAACGCTTCCTTCTCCTCCCTGGATCAATGCTGAGATCATTGCTAAGTCCTGGGA